TTGAAGCTAATGGCCGCCAGGCCACACTTCAAAACTTACACCCGCAAACACTAACGCACCGCAGGTCAATAACTGGTGCTAGGTGGCCGCCGCGTCCGGCTATGGCGTTCAGCAGAGACAGGGGAAGGGGCCCCGTCGGTTCGAAGGAACAATTACCTTTTACCCTTTTCATGGAGAATAAGTCCTGTTCTCGAAAACTGTAGGTCAGAATTCCCTAATTTTTTGCATGCAGCCTCGTATTGAAATTCTAAGGATACACTTTTGCCCCGTTTTGCCAAAATTTTGTTATGTGTTGACTTATAGAGGGAAATGGGGGGCAAAAATGGTAAAAAACACGTTTTTTGATAAAAATCACCTATTAACTCTGTTTTGGTTCAAAAAATGGGGTATATTGACAATAAATGGATGAAAGTAGACTGTTTGGGGAGCCTAAATATAAAGGTTTGAGAAATTTTTTTTTCCTCAAAAATATGATTTTTTCCAAAAACTGCAACAAAAATGATGGTTTTTTTGTAACTAAAAAGGTGTTTTTTCCACTTTTCTCAAAATGGGTGAATTTTCGGCTCTAACCCAAAAAGACATTCTGAACAGGTTCATAAAGTGTGTTTTAGTGAAACAAATTGATCGGATCACTTTATTTTGACTTTTTGAAAAAAAATTGATTTTTTACGTTTCTGACTCAACATTGTAAATCAAAAAAACAAAAATTTTAAAAAGTGAGAAAAAATGAATTTTGATGGCTTATTTGAGCTTGCCATAGACATTTTAGTACGTATAGAGTATTTAAACGTCAAAATTGAATAAAAATTATGGTTTTTACAATTTTTTTTCTCGGCTATTTTACTACTATTTTACTACAAATTAAAATGGCCAAATTTCGAAAAAAAAGTCTTAATTTCGGAAGTGGCTAACAAAACTGTTCTAGTTTTTTGCATGCGACCTAACAGGGACACTACATATATACCCTATTTAGATCACTTCTCGATCCTATAGGTCTGAAGACGACTTTACCCGATTTATCTACCTCTTTGAGTTAACCAAAAATGTGTTTTTTTTGCCTTTTCTCTAAATATGGAAGTTTTACGGCTTTGGTCTTGAAAACCATTCTGAACAGGTTCATATATTGTAGTCTAGTGATTTAAGCCAATTGGAGCTACTTTTAGTGACTTTTGAATAAAGGGTTTTTTCACGTTTCTGACTCAACTTTTTTTTCCAAATAAAAATTTTTTTTATTTTTTCTTTTGCTTCTAATCAATTTGAGACAAACTTAACCTCTTTGGGACAAATTCCAAGTCCAATTCAGCTATTAGTCACAATTGAAAGTCCACGTACTTTACAATGTGCTCGAAAAAAATATGAGGACTGTTTCCGAAAACTTGTTTTCGTTGGAACGGTCCTCTTCATGAATCACTGAAAAACATAAGTTACTTTGGTTTAGAGTTCTCTAGAGACTTATCAGGTGTAGATTCAGTCATTGAAAGTATGAGAAATCTTTTTTGATCTTTTCTAATCACATACAGAAAGTTTTTTGTTGTTGCTTTTGTGACACCTAACAAAGTTCATCAGATACCGTTTCAGAAAACTTTCGAGCAAAAAAGAGCACCCGAAGGGTGCTCCTTTTGCGAGTGCGTTAAGCGTTCCCCTGCTCCGCCCCCCGCGGAACCCACTCGTCAAAAAAAAGTCACTTACTTAGCGGGGCCACAGTGACAACTAGGTGGTCGTCGCGCTTCGGCGTCAGAGATACGGCGAGGCAAGGGTAGGGTCCCTGCCGGTTCTCGTTTCTTATAACCTTATACCCCTGTCGGCGGAATCGGGGCTGATCTCCAAAACGTTTCGTCAGAATTTCTTCAAAATTGGCATGCGGCTACAAAATGCAATTCTAAGGATACGATTGGACGCCGTTTGGCCAGAAAAACTCTATATGTTGACTTATGGCGGGAAATGGGGGGCAAAAACGGAAAAACGAAACACGATTTTTGGTTAAAATGACTCAATAACTCAATTTGGGTCCAAAAAACGGGATAGACTGTTAAGTAATGGATGAAAGAAGACTGTTTAGGGAGCCTAACGAAGTAAAAATTGGAATTACTTTTTTTTTAAAATTTTTATTTTTTCAGGACCGTCTCCTAATTTTTTGGTCACTTTTTTGAAAAAATTAACCAAAAAGGTGTTTTTTTCCGCCTTTTCTCTAAATATGGAAATTTATGGCTTTGATCATGCTAACACTTCTAATCAAGTCCACAGAGCGTGGCCTATTGAAACAATTTGATTGGAACAACTTTTTTTTACTTTTTGATAAAAACTGATTTTTCACGTTTCTGACTCAACATTTTATATCAAAAAATCAAAAATTTTAAAAAGTGAGAAAAAATGAATTTTGATAGCATATTCGAGCTTGCCATAGTCATTTTAGTAGGTTTAGAGTATTTAATTGTCAAAATTGGACGAAAATTTTGGTTTTTACAACTTTTTTTCTTGGGTAGCTTTTTACTACTTTACTACAGATAAAAATGGCCAAATTTCGAAAAAAAAGACTTGTTTTCGGAAGTGGCTACCACAATTGTTGTAATTTTTTACAAGCGGCCTTACAAGGACACTACATGTATGCCCTAATTAATTCATTTTTTGATCCTTTAGGTTTTAAGACGACTTTACCCGATTTATCTACCTTTATGAGTTAACCAAAAACGTGTTTTTTTGACTTTTCTCTAAATATGGAAATTTTACGGCTTTGGTCTTGAAAACCATTCTGAACAGATTCATACATTGTAGCCTAGTGATTCAATTCAGTTGGAACTACTTTTGATGACTTTTGAAAGAAAGAGATTTTTCACGTTTCTATTTCAACTATTTTTATCAAATAAAAAAAATGTTTTTTTTTCTATTGCGTCTAATCATTTTGAGACAAAATTAACTTTTAGGACCTAATTCAGGTCCAATATTCTACTGAAAACAACTGAAAGCCGATAAACTTAAAAACGAGATCTAAAAGAAGTTAACAGGACTGTTTTCGAAAACTTGTTTTCGTCGAAACAGTCCTCTTCAAGAATCACAATGTTTTGCATTGTTAACTGATCAGGCGCAGAGTGACTTGTCAATATTATCAGCCAGCAATGCAAGTTAGCGATCATGGCTGATAGTCTCACTGAGAAATAAAAAAGGAAAGGTCAAAAAATGTTAGACAAAACGTGAAGGTTAAGAAAAAATTAATTGACTCAGAGTTTTCGAGCAGAAAAGAGCACCCTTCGGGTGCTCTTTTTCTGCGAGTGCCACATGCCTTGAAGCCAATGGCATCCAGGCCACACTTCAAAACTTACACCCGCAAACACTAACGCACCGCAGGTCAAAGAGGGTGCTAGATACTGAAAAAAGGTCCAACCACGACTCGAACGTCAAACCTTAGGGTACAAAGGCAACTGTTTCAACTCCAGGCCAAGGGGGGGGGGGGGGGGGCAACCTGAAAGATGTTAAGAGAACAAAAGTGAAAAGAAGTCAGCAAGTGATTCAACAGATTTTGTTTACCTAGTTGTGAACTAGAAAAAAAGCGTATATTCCAGTTTTATAACGCTTGCTTATCCAAAGCGTAATGAAAGTGCACAAAGGAAGTTTGACACTAAGTTGTGATCAGCTAACTGCACACACTATCAGAACAAAGAAAATCAAAAACCATGCATTCGAGAAAAAAAAAACGGGAAATAATTGGAAAAAACTCAACACAAATCGCTTCAAAATATTTCTTTTCAAACTGAAAAGTTTCAGCGTTTATAGAAAAGCGCATTTAAAACGAGCATGAAACACCTTTGAGCGTGTTGTTTTTCAATTTAATTTAACAATTAATTGAAAAGAATTGAAAACACGCGGCAAATAACCCGACAAAAATTAGGCCTAAATAATTGAGCCTACAAAAAACAGTTATATTAAATCTGAAATTTTTTTTCCAGTAGACCCAGCAACGCATTAAATCTAGACACAGTAACTTGAGGTGTTAATCGAGCAACGGGCTGAAAATGGAGATCTTGAAATTGGAGATCCTGTGAACAAATTTTTCACGGGAAAAAATCTAGTTCCGATAGCAAAACCCTTGCTTATCGCAAGGGTAATGAAGATACTTGAAAGGAGCATGCTAGATTCGAATTCGACAAAACTTGTTTTGAAGGCGTAAAAGAGCAAGTACATAATAATCAAATTCAGAGCTGCTCTTGCTGTGGAAACATTCTCGCAAACAACACAAGAACTTTGAACTTATGCACGCTTATTCATTCTCGTGTAAGCTGATGAGCTTAGAATATTCTTCAAGTCACAGAAAAACGACAGACAAAAGAATTGAGTGAGTTACTTGGTCCGGCGTCACAAAAACAACGTTCTTTATGTTTTGACGATACAGGCATTGAAAGGTGGACTGGGGCACCTGTACAAAAAGTTGGTTTAAGTTCAGAGACATCATAACTATTATGAGAACCCTGTGCATGGACCGGAGCAATCACTCTCCGAAACAATTTTTTGTTGGCTTATTTCGAATATCAGCGCAAAATTACACTTAAATTACACGCCTGACCAAGTAACTTTTTAAACTCTTTTGCCTGTCGTTTTTCTGCGGCTCATGACTTTCCCAAAAAAAAAAACAATTGAATACAAAAATTCAAATTGCTCGAGTTTTTTTGCGAGAATATTTCTACAGCAATATCACATCAGAAACTAGTTATGTTACACTTGCTATTTTACGCCTTTAAAACAAGATTACGCCTTCTACACTAGAGATTAGTTCCTTCCAGCTATTTTCATCTACTATGTGTCAAACTTTCAACCCTATATCTTTATAAGTTGCAGAGAAAAACGACAAAAACGTTAAAATATTGTACATATGATCGTTGAAATCAATAACTTAAAGTTTAACTGATAAATTAAATTGACATACAAACACCGCTTTCGTTACTATGAGCAGCTTCCACCAACTAGGAAAAACTTGATATTTCAAAAATTTTATTGTTAATTGAATGATAAGGATTTTAAATTATGGCAATGAGTTGATTCAACTAAACTGGAGAAAAGTTAATTGAACAGACAAACAGCTTAGATTTCCAATCAGCAAATAATTCTAAATTTCGTATGATTAGTGTATCTATCGATGCAGCTAATCTGATCAACCATCATCATTATTAGCAGTTTGAGTAATTCATTTTCCTTCAAAGAACTCTACAGCCTTTTTAGCTGCTCTTCGTTTAGCGTTTTTATAGTTGCCCGCTTTTCCTTCAAACTCTTTGCCGTTGGCCAAACATTTCACGCACTTCAAATGAGATGTTATCAGCAAATTCGGATCCGACATAATATTACTGTCACTGTCGCTCATATCGCTTGTGCCGTCGTCTTCAACTTCTCTAAATTCGACATTGGCGTTCGAAAATCTTTCATAAAGTTCTCGTATCGGATTTTTCGGAATGTCTCTGGCGTACCTAAAATAAATTCATTGATATGAAAAAAAGTAAAGCTGAGCTGCACACAAAAGCAAAAAGGAGCTTTAAAAATAAAAAATACCAATACAGGACACCCCCTCCAGTCTTAGAGTCAAATCTCCTAACAACAGCGCCATAGCAACTGCCAATATACGAAACAGCAGCCGCCAATAAAGCGGATAAAACCCATGCTACAAAAATGCCATGTGGCATTAGAATCTGAGCAGTACACTGAGATTGAAATTGAGCACTTTCGTTGAGCATTACTTTATAGGAATTCGGTTTAAAAATTGAACTCATAAAATACTGCAAGCATTTGCATGTGCAATCAAAACTAGATGGTATAATGAAGGCTAATTTCCGCTTGAATGAAAACATGTTATGAAGCTTAAAATCCGCTTGAATGAAAACATGTTATGAAGCTTAAAATCCGCTTGAATGAAAACATGTTATGAAGCTAATTGTTTACAGGGGAATATCATATGATTAAAAGTGTAACTATTACTATTATACCTTTCAATAATGTGTTGTAGATGTGGGTAAAGAAACTTCCAGACGCAATCCAGATTCAGTCCCGAGTCTAAGTAGATGGCAGCAACCAGTGCTTCGAGGCAGTCCCCAAGAGGCTTCGGATCATCCACAGTATCTCCATCCACTTCAGCTGAAGTGTTGCTAATCATGTCACAGAAAGTGATCAGGCCTCCATTTTCAATGGCAATCGGACTTTTCTACACATTGAAACTGATTAAATATAAAAAATCTGTTTTCACACAAAAAGCGTAATTTAATCAACCAACCTCCAAAAATTCAACAAATCTGTTGATTTCCTGTTGCAGCTCCAAAGAAAGATGCTTCAACGCCTTATGCAAATCCAATTTTACAGCCAAGGATGAAAACAGAACATTATTCACAAGTGCAGATCGCATGTCAGTCAGCATTCCCGGATCAAAGTGGGGATACGTTTCGATTAGATGCTTTGTAATGACATAATCCAAAGCAGCATCTCCTAGGAACTCCAGACGTTGATAATTGTCAGTTAGATTGTTCCTGGTATAACTTGAGTGCGTCAACGCTTGAACTAGATAGAGTTGATCCCCGAACGAGTATTTCCCAACATCCGGGAGGTTTGCAAGAAGAACGTCAACTTCGTCAGAAGGTTCGCTTCTAGTTCCACCAACCTTGCAGGAATCCGGGATTTCAAAGCCTCCTTCTGGGTTTTGGAGCACTTTGATCTTCAGATACGAGTTCAAGAAATGCAAGGCAAAATCTTCGGAGCAGCACTGGAGAAAGCACCCGATCAAGGCCTCAACGACATCTGCGATGCTCTTTTCACTGTACACTTGCTTCATCAGCTTGTCTGCTATAGACTGTTCAGCCGAGTCAGAAGCAACAAAGAGAGGCGGTAGCCAGTTTTCGCGAGGCACATTTCTTTCAGCTACAATAAGCTTGTCTAGCCCTGGAACGTATAAAAAACGACTTGAAAAACATTTCAAATATCAAAACATACCAATCGAAGATTGAAAAAGAGTAATGAACGCAAGTAAACATAAAAACACACTCACTTTGAAAAAATCTCAATTTTCAATTTTCAACGAAAAAAATATATGCCCTTTAAGCTCTTTGAATTTTTACAATTATTTATGACTGGCGGTTTTTTGACAACATTAGCCCAATCTGAGAAAGCTGGATCAATACGTAAAACTTTTATTTCGCTGGGAAATCTGATAATTAATTTCCATTTTCGAAAAAGAAGTCGATCACGTTTTTCGTGACTTTTACACTTTTGCTATTCGATAGGGGAGTTTGCCTTCCTTTTAACAATGGAAATGCACTGAACTTAAAAAAAAATCAAACCGCGAAAAATTGATCGTGAACAAGATTTAAGACTTTTTCCTATAAGAGTCTTCACTACGTGCATTACTCTTAAAAATGAAATGCTAAGGAAACTAAGTTACACCTATATACAGGGTGACCAACGGCGTGACTCTAAAAAAGGACCTAGTGGAATCACCCCAAAAATTGACCGTCACAAGTGTTCTGTGAAAACATTAATATAAAAACACGATTAGTTTAAAGTCCAGTTTAACCAAAAAAGGTCATACAAAAAATTATCAATTCTGTACTACACGAATGGAATCGTAGGTTTTTAAATTGAAATTGCTTTGCCACAACTTTTCAGCGGATTTCATTGTTGAGAAGCCGGACTCAGTGTTCATATATTGAGGACAGACCAAAAGTGGACAAAAGTGAATTTAAAAAAGGGACTAGTACTCCAAAAAGGGATAAAAAAGAACACCATTTACTTGTGCAAATAAAGTTATACTTGTGCAGATATAATCATATCTAAACCAATTCTGATTATCCTACTAAGCTCAAATGTTTTGAATCGGTGCTCGTCGAGGCTTCATACCAATCTATCGATAACATGATTGAATTTACACTAAAAAGAGTTTATGATATAGTCTAACCTTTTTCCTTGGCTACCTTCACGAGGTTGCTGTTGCTGATGACCCTGATTTTCTTCTCAGTTAGATCTCCCTCGTCCATATCCGGATGTTGCATAAACAGATATCGACTAACTACAAATTTGAGGAAAGCGTCTCCGTAGATCTCAAACTGCTCCAGATGCAAACCTTCGCCCGAGTGCGCGCTCTAAACAAACGCATAAATTTAACAATGCATATTTCATAGACCAACCAAAATCATCAACAGTCTAAAAATCTAAATTCAACTAACTTTGAGCGTAAAACATTTCAACAGGTTGATGGGCGCCGGTCCAATCCAGCACTGATCTTGGTCCGACATATTTTTCGTCTCGGACACCAATTTCTTAAACTCGAGTGCTGCACCTTCATAAACAGATGGAATAACTGTAAACCCTTTGCCGCTAAGAGTGGGTGCCCTTTCATTGGGACAGGACGCCACCACGTTATCGTCATAGCACAACTTGGCGAAGACATCAGCCATGAAATCCTCACAAAAAATCAACGAATTCAGTCGGAACAATACAGTAGGTAAACACATGGCATTGTAGAGCACTTCTGCTGTGAACATTTGTCTCACACTTTCGCTCAAAGGATACTGGGGCCTATGCTCCGATCGTCTAACTCTATCTTTTGCACCATATGCAATACTATCACCAATTTTCCGAACCGTCGCTTGGCCGCCGCACGCTGTGACATACTCTACCAGGTGCAACCTATCTCTGTTCTTTGCTAAATCGACTCCTCTCGTCGGAAATTTGAAGACAGAATTCTGCGGAGCAGCCCATGTAGAATGCTCGATTATTTCATCCTTGTTTAAAAAGTCGCCTCTCTCCTGGTCTATAATAGCTGCGATCAACTGAAACGGACTGTTCTCCATATCTAACTTGATGTTTGGTATTTTGAGGACTTCCTCAAATAACCATCGATTTGTTTCAATCAACTTCTGAATATCGTGACCATTTAGAGTGACTTCCTTTTGAAATTCCATTGATCTTACTTCGGTTCCGTACAAGCTGTAAATTACGACGCTTGGTACCGTAGGGATTTTAGATGCGGTCAAGAAGCCAACCGATACCGAGGGGTATTTTATGAACCCCGGCAAGAAATTACATATCCAATCATGGTCCAAGTTAGCACTGCGAATTTCATGCCAGAACAACTTGTGAACTTCATTCACTTTCCCCGAAACTGAAGGTGGGTAGAATCTTTTCACTTTTAGAACAACGTTTTCTCCATTCGAGTTGTGGTTTCGACCTCCTCTCCCTCCTGACCTTTTCTTAGACTTACTTCTCACAGGTCGCAAATTTTCGTCAAGCTGTCCCACTTTGTGTAACAACTCGCAAGCCTTCAAAGCAGCCGAAACCTTAGCACCTTTTAGGGACCTTTGCTCTAACCCTTTTATTTGCTCTTTCAAGACCGAGCATGACGGCAAATAGAGAGTAGCTATGAAACTTTGCTCTCCTAATTGTTCAACGATGAACTTCGGCTTCCAATAAGAGAACCTATCCGAGGGCAAACACTGGCAATATTTATTCAACAATGCAAGAGCAGAGGCCGCAGTTACTCTTGCTCCATCTGATTCCGCATACGGCGCGTAGCTCTCAAGAGAAGATTCTTCATTCTGCGCAAAACATTCAGTATCAGACGGCAAAACTCGATTACAACTCTCAGTGGTGATAAATTCCTCTATAGTAGCAAACTCACCTTCTAGTTTCAGTTTGAAATCTGGGTATTCGACTTCGCTTGCTATCACAAAGTAGTTTGAGTTGGGAGCTCTGGCACGCCCTTTGCTTTGAATGTATGACCTGAAGTTCTGCGGGAGGTCAAATTTGCACACGAAATTACAATGCGGAACATCAATGCCCTCTTCGATGACATTGGTCGCAATCAGGAGGTTAGCTTCACCTTTTCTGAACTTATTCAGCGATTCCGCTTGTTCACGTTCACTTATTCTAACGCCTGATGTTGAATTTAGTTGACCGACTACAAACACCGGTTTTACAAATCTGATGCTTTCAAAGTCTTTGCTGGCTTGAAGCAAGAAGTCCCTCAAAACAGCCGTGCTGTATCTTCTTTCCACAAAAATGATCCCGCAGAACTTATTTTTTCCAGGCAAGCCACCAACTTTTCTCAGTAACTGCAATAAGGAATATAGTTTGGGCCTCATGAGCGATTTCGTGTACAGATCCTGGTCGAAACCAAACTTCACTTGAGCGCTTATTGCCACAGAAGTAACTTTTGCCTGTAACTCTTGTACCAATTGCATTTCATGTACACTTAGTTGATGAGACCCAATAGATCGATTCAAAACTTTCTCCAAGAGCACTTTCAAAGCTTCGATTCCTAACACATCAAAACAATGTTTCACGTCAATTTCAGTTCGACTTTTTGCGATATTTTTGCTCACGTCTTCAAATTGAGCCAAGGTTGTTTCGAGGGTAAGATCTAACTGTTCAATCTGCTCACCCAGTTCAATTAATCCTTCAAGTTCACGAACCTTGGCGTCATCTTTCGCACGAATAAGATTCACAGCAGGCTTAGCCGAGAAGCTTGACTTGTCATAAGGTGAAGTGATGACTTTTGCGAAGAATGTTCTTTCAAGATCGGTCATCTAAAACAAAAACATTTAGTTGTATATCTGTCCTATTGCATTTTGTCTAATTCAATCAAATATAGCTTTTCCATTTTGCCCCTCCAGCTAAATATCGGTGAGTTAACCGGATGCTTCCGTTCCAGATAAATTGTGCGTCATAATTAAGTTGCCACCATCACTTCTTACCACCATAATCCATTCGAAAAGAACCTTTCAAACATTAAAAAAAAAACCTGTCAAAACATATTTCACTATTCAAACATTATATGGCAAAAGCAACTTACTTTTCTTGCCATTGCATCACCGGTTTTAACTTTGCTTGTGAAGACACACGCAGTTAGACCAAACACCTTCGGCATTGTTCCATGTGTTAACGTCTGTTTTCTCTCCGCAAAGCCGTTCATAATAATTTTGTAAGGGTGCTTTCCAGTCGCGTGATGGCATTCGTCAAATATCAGAAGATTTAGGTCACAGAAGGTAATAAAGCCAGCATTCAACATGTCGACTAACACTTGTGCAGTCATCACAAGCACCTAAAACAATATTAATTGAAACAACTTGGGTTTCAGATCATTTATCTATTTCCTTGTTTCGACGGAACGACAGAGGTGTGTTTCTCATCAAGCAAATTCGTGTACCAAGCAACATTTAAAAAGATAAAAACAGACTTATTGATAATTTCTGGACATTTTTAAACTTTCAAAATTCTTAAAACATATCACCTTCAGTTTTTTCAAATCAAATAACAATTTACGATTGACAACGCTTTTGGGAATCTAAACAAATTTGTGAAACCGTGGATCATTAAGATTTTTTTCATTCTGTTGCGAAATATAAATTCAATCATGTCAAACGGCGGAAAAGTGAAATTGATCAAAAACAATTTCAAAACACTGAGGCGAAGCGGAGCTGCGCACCACTTGCGATACAACTGAATCATAATAAAACATTAAGTAGAAAAAAAATTGAAAAATGTTGGAAAAAAACTGGATGAACCAGAATTTTTTGATTGTCTCGATGAAGGAAACGTTGGGCCGAGCTGAAGCTGGAGGTACGCAAAAGATATTTTTGAATTTGTTAAAATGATGCGGGACGAAATGTATAATTTCAAAAATTGGACCTTACCCAAAACCTTAGTTGTTTCTCTATAAAATAAATGATAAAAGTGAAAATTTTGGAGATTTTGTAATATCCCCAAAGACAACATTTCTTTTACAAAAATTAAGGACTAGCCGCTTCTGAAGGAAAAATTCGTGCAACAGCTTTTTTCGATTGAACTTTTCATTTCAGCTTTGAAATGGTACTTAATAAGAAAATTCAAAGTTTCAAAGTTACTAAAAAACGGTCAAACTCAAAAAGTTGATTTTCTGAAATCCGTTTTTTTTCTGCCAAAAACAGGTCACGACCGGTAAAGAAGAGAAGATTCCCAAAAACGGGTTTCTCACTTGAACACTTAACATGAGAATTTGGACGGCAATTTTCGAGTAAAGTCAAAAATGGACAAACTTCGAAAATGGTCAAAATTTCAAAACTTTCACTTGTAGAAAGGCCATAGCTTTTTTTCTCAAAAAACTGGGCGTAGCAAACTATGAAGGCAAGCTTTCAACAACCTGCTTTGTCGATTAAACCTATGATATCAGATTTGGCAGGATTGTTATCGAAAAAAGTCCAGAAAACGGTCAACAAATATAAAATCAATCATGTCGACAATGCAAAAAACATATTGCGCTACAAGATAGTGAATGAAAAAAAAGACGGTCTAAAAAAAATTCTGAAAAGTTAAATTTTAAGAAATACTTCAAAAAAACTTGAAGGGTTGAAAATTACAGCTACAAAAATGTCATGGTTATTTAGGATAAGTTTCATAGGCAGGCATAAAAAAATGGAAATAATTTACTGAGCGGCAACAAATTTCGGGTCGAAAGCTGTTAGGCCGAAAACATAACTTGTTCATCGCAAGGGCGAAGAGATCTATGGATTTTTTATGGGTTTCGAAACAAAATCAATAAAAAACTAAGAAATTTAGAATAAATAAGAAATTTTTTCAATTTTTTATGTGGATTATCATTGCTTAGAAACAGCAAACAACCAGGATTTGTATGTTGAAATCGGAACTTATTAACGAAGTTAGCTCGCTTCAGCAAATAAATTTGTACTTAATTTCATTTTTTTTTTTTCAGTTGAGATAGATAAAGCCGGCTTGATAGGCAACTAAATTTGTCGAATTTTTCACCAAAACTAATTTATGTGCATACTTTTTGCTTGCAGAATCCGGCGCATGATCAATAAACTGTCAAAGAGCAGGATGGTTTAAAAGCAGAAAAAGTCTAAGAGCAAAATTGGGGTGAGCAAAAAAACAGACAAAAATTTTTTTTTACAGGCTAATCAATAAATCAATTGAGTAGTGATTGATTAAAATTTCATCAAATTTTTCATTTTACTTAAAAAAAAACATTCAAATTACTCAATTTAGGCATAAAGTGTTCGTTTTTTTTTGGTAATAATGTCCAAATTAATACTTGTTTTACCGATTAGCTTCTAAAAGTTGACATTTTTCTGCTCTTGGACCCTTTCTTCTCTAAGACCACTCTGCTTATTGACTGGCCACCGAAACACACATCTATGCTCTTCTCTATAATTAATCTATTAACAAAAAATAATTACTTCTCAGAAATACAAAAAAAAGAACAGTTGATATTTTTCTGCTCTTGGACCCTTTCTTCTCCAAGACCATTCTGCTTATTGACTGGCCACCAATGGAGGCGGAGTAATTAGCAGAATGGGTACAAGAGCAGAAATACAGAAAATTATTAGCTTTGATTGATGTATACGGGCTAATTGATAAAACAATTATCAGAATCTTCGGACCAAGTTTACATCCCCAATACGCTTTGGGGGGAGGATGTAAGCTTGGTTCTGAGTTCTAGTTTTCAGCCATTCAGAATAGAGCTTTTTACGCGCTGGTGGTGAGGATCTCTACTTGGTCCATTTGTGGTGGAGGATGAGAACTTGATCCGAATCGTCAATAATACCAAGAAAATGAATAAATTATGCATGAATTGAATAATTTCATCAAATTTTAAAAATTGAATCTTCAAAAAACCTCGATTAAATTACTCAAATGATGCAGAAAAGATTAGTGTTCTTGGTAATAATGACTATTCTTATACTAAATTTTCCGATTAGCTTATAACAATGAAAGTTTTTCTGTTTTTCTGCTCTTGGACCTATTCTGCTCTTAGACCATTCTGCTTATTGGCTGGCCACCGGGACGACTGGGAACATAAGACGACAGGATATTAATATACATGATATTATGAAACACATGAGCGCTAAAAGATTTAAATTTAGCTGATCTAATTTCAGCAGTTTATATTTTTTTGGAAATGCAGCAGGATAGCTTCATCTTAACGTCCCAAAACTGTTATCGACTTAATCGATATCGTCCTATTAGCCAGAAAATCATTATTAAAAAATCTCATAAGAATGGGGGCGTCGCGATAAGCATTGCTTTCATTAAGCTTTTTATTGAGATGAAGAATCAAGTAGCAAAAAATTCATTCAATTTAGAAAATCACATTTGTTCGGGCAATTTAAATTCCATTTTCGCCCAAGTTAACATTCGGCAGAACGAGCACGCTATTTGAGTGGCAAATTGGACTATCCGTATAATCTCCCCAAAAATGACCAATCGTAAAAAAATCTCCCTCACCACGTATTAAATTTGAAATTGAATTTTGCATAAGAATTACATTTTTTCTGCAGCATTGCATGTATGCTGTTAATAACCTACATTGAAGTTTTAAATAAGCTTCCTCTAATTAATACTGAATTGCTTGAGGGTGAAGCAACATTACCCAGTCCAGAAATATAGCAAGAATGCATGGAAATCTTAACCAGGGGCGCAACAGCGGTTCTGTTGAATAACTTTTTTCCGGCACTATTAAATTTCGGTTCGTACAGCCTCATTTGTGCATATTTTGGAGCCCGGCAACTAAGACGAGGACAGTTAGGACACAAACTATTTTTGATGGGACTTTAAGACGACGCTACTTGCAATTCTCCACATTGTATTTCTGACAAATTTAAACCGCTTTAATTCGAACTGCTCCCTTTTCATCGATAACGCTTATTTGTCGTCTTAATGTCGCGTCGTCCTTAATGGCTTGTCGTCACCTAGCATCCTTAATCTTGAGTGACTTTATCTGTTACGTAGCAGTATTTAGACAACCGCGTATTCATACTCGTCAGTAAACAGACAAATACCATATTGGCCAATCAGAATCGAGACAAGAAAGAAATCAATAATTAACACTTATATATTTTGCAAGTTTGCTTTCCCATCTCGATTCTGATTTGTTAACACAGTATTTGTCTGCTTACTTACGAGTATGAATTCGCGGTTGTCTAAATACAGACCACACTACTTTTATCCATAGTTCTTTAGGGTTACGTAGCAGTATTTAGACAACCGCGTATTCAGACACGTCAGTATTTAGACAAATACTGTTTTAACCAATCAGAATCAAGACAAGGAAGAAATTAATAAATAATTATGATTTATTTTGGATTTTTTATGTCTTATATCGATTCTGATTGGTTCATACAGTATTAGTCTAAATACTGACGAGTATGAATACGCGGTTGTCTGAATACAGATCGCACTCCGTTCTTTCGGTATTAAAACAATTCTTGTCTTTCACGCGTCTTTTTATTTTTCAATGATTAAATACGCTATTACACCGTGGATAAAATGTACAATTACACAAGTTGTTTTCAACCATTTTTGCTATAACAAACTGAGCGGCATCCATCCATTCGCATAGGCGGTTCAGCGTATTAAGGCCTGATTGAATTTTCAAAGATGGGTATTCACAAGTACCAAAATGATAAATCAGTCCCATTTGTACCAAAATAAAAAATCAATCGCGTTAGTACCTAAAATATTCAATTGGCCTAAGACTATTAAGCCGACTACTTTAAGCTCGTGGTTTAAGGTCGCCGGGGGGCGAGCTACGCGCGCGTCGCGGCGATACCCGGCTCTAACTTTTGTATAGAGTCCTACCCTCTGTTGGCAAGCTCGCAACACGTTGGCGCGACTGCGACGGTCACTATTCTGCTGTTTAATTTTCTTGTTTGAACAGTAGAAAATTAATGTAATAATTCGTTGACTCACAATTCGACCAATCAGAAATCGAGTTGAATAATTTTGGTACAAATGGGACCGATTTTTCATTTTGGTACAAATGAATGGTGCGTATTCATAGGTTCCAAAATAAAAAATCAGTCCCATAGGTTCCAAAATAAAAAACCAGTCGCATAAGTTCCAAATCTTTTCAATTGGTCAAAAGACTAAATTAGCCGAGTCTCGGTTTAAGGTCGCCGGTGGGCGCGCTACGCCGCTTTGCGGCGATAACCGGCTCTAAATTTCGTATAAAGTCCTATCCTTTGGTGGCAAGCTCGCAACACGTTGGCGCGGCTGCGGCGGTCACTATTCTGCAGCTTGAGTTTATGCTGGTTGAACAGTAAACAATCGATCCATCAATTCGTTGACTCAAATTTCAACCAATCAGAATTCAAGAAGATAAATTTTGGAACTTATGCGACTGATTTTTTATTTTGGAACCTATGAACATTGGAACCTATGGGAATTCACCCAAATGAACGTTGGTACAATTGGGACATCACCTTTTCAAAAAGCAATGAAATTGAATTTTATCAATTATTTTTCAGAGCTGCAACACTAACCTGATTCTTCTCCAACTCTCTGTTCCATTCCGGCTGGAGCCATCTGTCAACGTTCTTTTCGCCTGAAGTAAAGAACAAAAACCTCAAATTATATTCCTAATTTACATCGAGACTAAATTTTGGTGCCTTTTCGAGCTGCGGTTGAACTTTCAGTAGGAGGAAACATATGTTTTCCAAAAACAAAAGTATCTTTTAACCTATGCAGAAAACTCAATGCAAAAATGCAAACCTTTGATAGAAAAACCTCTTTCAACTAAAGAAAACAGTCGATAACGAAGAGTTTATAGTACCAAAATTAGTCAACGTCATTTCTTACCCTTAGGTACCGGACATCAAGCCGACGGGCCTTCAAGCCGAATCGTAAAATTGGGGACTTCAAGCCGAAAATTTTCTCATAAGTGATGAAGTAGGATTAATTTGAAAACCTTTTTAAAGAATTTCCTACTTTTATGATCTTTTTTCAGTAATTATTCGTCCTAAAATTTAGGCCTCCAAATGATGTTTAGGAAAGTTGAAATATAAAACACGGTTTGAAGGCAATTTTCTTGTTTATAATTTATGCCTTTCAAAAACCGTCTGAAATTATTAACGAATGCCAATCCTAAGTGATTCCTTGTCATGAATAACGCTTATTATGGACTGAACTTGCCTGAAATTTTGAAAAGCAACGTTTTACAGATGAAAAATTTTAATTTGAGGTGCTTGTAAAGTTTAAATTTCGGCCTGAAGTCCCTTCGGCTTGAAGTCCCGTCGGCTTGTTGTCCTAGACCCCTTACCCTTGCCATTAAGATTATTTATATAGATTCATTCGATACACGAATGCTTTCAAATTATAGTAAGTATGGTATTCAAGTAGGTTTTTTTCAGAAAAACTGAAGAGGGTGGTCACTATTCACTATTAAGAAGATGCAAACTAAGAGACCCGTGAAATAATCCACTTTCAGATTAGAATGATGCTCGATGTACTTGGTCTGCTGCTTAGCCAAGGCCACTGAATTCACCACAAACACAGTTCGTCTACCTCCCTTTTCACTTCTGTACTTTCCACACGTCTCATGGCACAACTCTTTCATCAGCAGAAGGGCAATGAAAGTCTTGCCTGACCCTGTTTCCAACCACACTATCACGTTCTCACCCAATGCTTGCTCGAATAAACGAATCTGATAGTCTCTTGCCGCCAGAGTACCACCATCACGCAATTCCACAGACATTTGAATCGACGGCCACAGGAGCAACACTAAAACACCAAAACTACATATCATAACACCCAGGCCCCAAACGATTCTGCATAGTTAGGCCTATAGCCTATAGAGCAGCAAATACAGCAGAAACTCGATCAAACAGCAGAGTTTACACCTTTTCCTCAGATATCCTTCAAGATGAAAAAATGAATGCTGAAATTCTTTCTCAGAAATACGAAGTACACATCTATGCTCTACTCTACACCTAATCTATTAACAAAAAATTATTATTTCTCAGAGGAGTGCAGCCAGTATTTAGACAGCCGAGTATTCATACTCGTCAGTATTTAGACAAATACTGTATGAACCAATCAGAATCGAGAAAAGACATAAATAATCCAAAATAAATAATAATTATTTATTAATTTCTTCTTTGTCTCGATTCTGATTGGTTGAAACAGTATTTGTCTAAATACTGACCAGTCTGAATACGCGGTTGTCTAAATACTGATATGTAACCTTTCTCAGAAATACAGAAAAAGAACATTTATTCACGACACGACTACTAATCTATTGGTTACGTCGCAGCATTTAGACAACCGCGTATTCAGGGTGCCGGACATCAAGCCGACGGGACTTCAAGCCGAATTCTAAAATTAGGGACTTCAAGCCGAATAGTTCATAAAGTCGTGAAATATGATTAATTTGAAAACTTTATTGAAGAGTTTCTGAATTTCATGATCTTTCTTTACTAGTTATCGGCGTTTTCATAAAATTTAAGCCTTCAAATGATGTTTCGGAAAGTTGGAAAGTAAAACATGGCTGAAGGCAATTTTCATGTTTATAATTTATGCATTTCAAAAACCGGCTGATGTTATTAACGGATGCCAATCACAAATGGTGCATTGTCATGAAAAACGCTTATCATGGACTAAACTTGCCAAAATTTTGAAAAGCAACGTTTTACAGATGATAAAATTGTGTTTTGAGGTGCCTGTAAAGTTTTAATTTCGGCTTCAAGTCCTTTCGGCTTGAAGTCCCGTCGGCTTGTTGTCCTAGACCCCGTATTCATACTCGTCAGTAAGCAGACAAATACTATATTAACCAATCAGAATCGAGACAAGGAAAAATTAATAATTAAAAATTATCAATTTAGTAAGTTTGCTTTCTCATTTCGTGTAATCAAGATTTCGCATTTCAAGGAGCTGACTTACTTCATCTACAACAAGCATTTGTTATCGATGATCTAAGCCTTAAACATATTTTTTGCATCAATCAAATCAAGCCATTTGACTTACCTTTTCGTCAGTTTTGCTTCTGGTTGCAAGAAGGGAAAAGGAGGGAACTATCAAAAACAGCTATATTCGATACGCAACAAAACTGAGCAATAAGAACTCCGGTGCAATAAACGGATAAATAATATTTCTGAGAAATGCGCGTTTCTGAGAAATACACAATATCTTAGAAAAGCGAAAAGCTAGAAAAACGCATTATATACCGTATGGTACCATAAGCCGCTGATACCATACAGTACTACATCTGTATTGCTTTTGAGCTTACAGGCGGCATTATGCGCATTTCAAACTACAACTGAAACATCAACATCGCAGCTAAAACAGCAATATCTATCTAAAACTAAAACATCAAGCTACTTCATTGCATGACTACAATGATACAGTACAATCCAACAAATGTAACCAGAACTCAGACTATAACTATAACCGATACCGGGTGCCAGACATCAAGCCGACGGGACTTCAAGCCGAATCGTAAAATTAGGGACTTCAAGCCGAAAATTTTCTGATTAAGTGATGAAGTAGGATTATTTTGAAAACCTTTTTAAAGAATTTCCTACTTTTATGATCTTTTTTCAGTAATTATTCGTTTTTTCATAAAATTTAGGCCTCCAAATGATGTTTAGGTAAGTTGAAATATAAAACACGGTTTGAAGGCAATTTTCTTGTTTATAATTTATGCATTTCAAAAACCGTCTGAAATTATTAACGAATGCCAATCCTAAGTGATTCATTGTCATGAATAACGCTTATTATGGACTAAAATTGCCCGAAATTTTGAAAAGCAACGTTTTACAGATGAAAAATTGTACTTTGAGGCAGGGGCGGATCTAGGATTTTTTTGAGGGGGGGGGGGCGGATTTTCAAAATTGTTTCGGAAATTTTGACGACCTTTTTTTTTAGGTCGACCAAATTGATTTTCCGAGCTCTTCTAAAGCACTAAAAGGTCCCTGTTTTTGCCAAATTTTCTGCGCCGCAGACAAATTTTAGAAAAAACATGTCAAAAAAGCCGTTTTTAGGCACTTTTTGAAAAATTGAGACAAAAAAATCGCGTTTTTTTGGCGCGCGCTCCCCCTCAAAGTTAGTATATATTGGCGCCGAATGCGCCTTTAGAAAAATTTAAGGGTCGGTCGGCAAAAAATGGATTTCTTAAAAAGTACCAAAGGGGGAGCCTTTGGGTCGGCAGGGGGTAGAATCCCTGAGGGGGGGGGGGGGGGCGTCCGCCCCCCCCCATAAATCCGCCCCTGATTTGAGGTGCTTGTAAAGTTTAAATTTCAGCCTGAAGTCCCTTCGGCTTGAAGTGCCGTCGGCTTGTTGTCCTAGACCCACCGATACCTAACCAAACTTAGAGCAGCAGAACTATACCAAACACTCGTCGTTTCAAGTCAAGATATTATTCACTAAATTTCAAGCTCAACATTATAACTTCGAGTATCGAAGAATGACAGAATATTTATGCTATGTGTGCGTGGTTTGATTGCATGGCAAACAGTAGAAAAGTTGTATAGTAGACAAAGAGGGGATCCCTTTAACTTTCCCCCTTTGAGAGGCGGAGCAATAAGCAGAATGGTCTAAGAGCCGAATGTGTCTAAGAGAAGAAAATTACTAAAATACACAAAAATGTTGAATTATACGGTAAAATCAATACACAACTATTAGAATAATGAATATTGTCAGTGAAATGAATAAAATATACATAAGTTTGAGTAAGTTTATTGAGTTTTTTTTTTCAAATATTTCGGCAAATTTCAGCGATTCCATTCCAATAAGTCTTCAGCGAAATATGGCCGTCCAAATGAGAGTTTTTTAGCCGAATAATTTTCGTATCCAGTTCAATTGGATCGCTCCAGCCTCTGTTCTAGATTTCGCATTTATTGGTCGTTCGAATATCCACAGGGCGGTCAAACACGTTCTATAAATCCATTGGAATTTGACCCAAAATCCAAAAAGTCCAAACAATCGAAAATTTTTCCAACTTTTTCGCAAGAATTGATTTTTTCTTGATAAAAAGCCAACGCCATGCTTATCTCGTTAATAGGTAAATATGCGAGACTGAAAAGTTTTCTAGCAACATCTTGAAATTTTTTGTCCGTTTTATAATCGCAACTTGGTCCAAATTCTTGAATTGTTCGGTAGATGCATTGCGAAAAACGAAACCAGCATCCAAAATGCGCCGAAGCATGGAAAATTATTCGAATTTCTGGTATTGCCCCGGTTTCATAATTGGTTACAATGGTGTCGGGCATCAAGAAAAAGCCGACTATTTTGTTGCATTTTTCGGACAAAACTTTAAAAAGTAAATTTTTTCGGATTTTCCGGTCAAAAATCCCCAAGCTGCAGGAACTTTCCAAGTCTGAGCCGACCCGAAGATTGTTTTGAAGAAAAGGAGGTTAACAAATTTAATTTAAATTAAGCCCGCTGGGGTGGAGAATCTTAACTTGACATACTTGGGGGACGGATGCTAACATGATCCTACAGCTACAAAAATCTCATGGTTGTTTAGGATAAATTTCAAAAGCAGGAATAAAAAAAAGGGAAATAATTAACTGCGCGGCAACAAATTTTGGGTCGAAACTTGTTGAGCCGAAAACATAACTTGTTTATCGCAAGGGCGAAGAGAACTATGGACTTTTTATGGGTTTTGAAACAGAATCGATAAAAAAACAGAAATTTTTTCAATTTTTTATGTGGATTGTAATTGCTTAGAAACAGCAAGTAACCAGAGTAGTATATGTTGAGGCTGATCGGGGGGGAAGCATGGCGGACCTCATGTATTAAGATACGTTATAGATTTCGGGTCCGCCATGCTATGTATTAAGATAGAGAATAGAGTCTACAATGTATTAGGATAGGGAATACCAATGGTAAGGTTTCATGGTTTGTGTGATGGTGAGAGAATGGTAAGAAAAACGAAATTTTCTGGTTTTTGTGTGGAAATGTCTAGTTTTTTCGCAAAAATCTCGGCGCGCGTTATCTAAATGTTAAATATCACTTGTTAATTACGTGAAGATTGTGAAATGAAGTTCTTTTAATTAATTTTTTGATACATAGTAAGTCAATGGTAAGAGTTGTTGAGCAAAAATTGATATTTTTTATCAAAAATTTTTCAAAAAACTTCAAAACACAATAAATTTGGTGTAATTCGACGTATTAATTATTTTAATAAAAGATCTTACTTTTTCGAAACAACTTCCTGAAACCATGCTGAAACCTACTGAATCTTCGAAAAAATTCAGGGTTTTTGGAAAAAAAATTTCAAAAATTTTAAGTTTTTGGAAAAAAATTGCAGAAATCTCATAGTTTTGAGTAATTTATTGTTGCTTCTGAACTAATTGAAAAAATATTCTTACATAAAGAGTTTAAAAATGAGCTCAAAGTGTAATTTAATTGGCATCAAGTTGAGACAATGGTACAAAATTTTGAATAAAAAAAATGAATTTTTCCGCAATTTTTTCTCAAAATACTGAAATACGATAAAGTTTGCCATTATTTGAGCTAACAAGTGGGTTACATAAAGCTCTCAATACCAAAAAGAAAGCTCATAAAAGCTGAATCAATATTGAAACTTCCGGAAAATAGTGAAACTAATCGTAATTTTCGAGAAAGTAAAGTAAAAATTAATCAAATTTACCCAAAATTTTCCATTTTCAACCTTTCATTTGGGTAATTAACTGTTTTTTTTTGTCCATTTCAGGGAGAATTTAAATGAAAATCTCAATTCAAATGAACATTAAGAGCAATATTCCATAAAATTTCTAGATCAATCTCCATGATTCAACTCCTCAGTTTTTTCTCATGTTTTACCCAAATTTTTACCAAAATTACAACTTGCGAGAAATTTTTCATGTTAATGATTAAAAATTTCAGATAAACGATGAAAAATGAACAGTTTATTGCTAAAATTGACCAAAATTGAGGTAAATTTTTCTTAAAAGTGTATTAGATATTAGATGAAATTCAACAAAATCTTCTTCATAACTGATGATTATCTCTGTTGCTTTTAAAGAATAATTTTCATGATTTTTCTGTAGAAAAGTTCTAAATTTAAAATTAATCTTGTTTTCTGCTTAATACATGCTTTCGCTATTAAACTCAATTTGCAAGACATTTTAGTCAGAACTGGGGAATTTAGGAGGAAAATAGTATCAATTGAACGAACAATTTGCTGGCAGAGATGAAATTAGAACTGATACCGTCTGATTATTACGATGTAATTTAAATGTCTTCCTTAAAGTTACCTTGTTCAGTTGCTAGAAAAAAAAATATTTCAGCAACTTTTGAGGAAAACACAGCTTTTGATATCATTAACTATCACTTTTCTTGCAAAATAATTAGTATATTGCTGTTTATTCTTGATTTTTGTCGGAAGTTTTCTCAAAAACGTTCAAGTGACAAAGAATTGGGGCCATTTAAAGCATTCAAACGCACATTTAAAAATTGAGACTATACAGGTGTTTTTCAACGTTGAGCTTTGAGAACAAATTAAGAGCAGCCCTAATTATTATAATCTGAAAACCTAGTCCCTAACATCTAAAAACTTCTAAAAGGGCGCGTCTCAAAATAATCGCTTTGGCAAAGGAAATCAAGGTGCAAACTGGAACAATTGTATAGATGTCCGAAATTTGTTAGGCAAAAACTCAATAGTTCTACCTAATTTTCTAATTGAAAAAAAGTTAACCAGAACAAAATCTTTACTGTGTGTCTAATTGAAACTTTTCATGTTAAATGTCAAATCCTTTCGCATTTCGTTTTGATTGGTAGTATAAAGCATTTATCACTTTTGAGTTTCATTTCGTTGTCTAAGCACCATTTTTCTATTCTATTTATGTCTTCTTGTAGAGTATAAGGGTCAGTATTTACAAGTTTGAAATCATCTGCAAACCCAAAATATTCGCTGTTTTTAATTATAGTTGGTGAATCATTTATAAATAGGATAAAAAATAGGGGTCCCTTTGGTTGAGGCGAACACACGTTACATATCAGTAGAAGGTTTTGGCTGACCTCGCTAATCCCGAAGACGGCATGTTCGCTCATTTGGGTGCACTTTTGGGCCAAGTGCATTGAGTCACCACAGGAGACATAGAAACACGGCATCCCGTGGCGTTATGGGCTTTATGCATGTTTTACAGAAGTTATTTTACTTGGTGGGCGTCATTATGAAAAGAGCAAAATACCTCGGCACTCTTGCACTTCGTAGGAAACTTAATTCCTGATGCACTAGAAGTGTCGAGGTTTACTTTAAGCTTTTGATTCAACTCTCCCGCGCTTCCTAAAAAACATAATTCCTATGGATGCACGGATTGTTGAAGCCAAAAGTTTCGTGAGAAAGAAGTTGAAATTACCTGCGCTTCTTAGAAAACTGAATTCCTAAAAATACACTGGTTATTTAACTCTGTTGTTTGTGGACATAATCCTTAACGTGTGGTCTGACTTTCACGCGCTTCCTAAGAAACTCAATTCCTATGGATGCACTAGGATGGTTGTAACACAAGTTATTCGATAGGTATAGAATGTTTAGTGGTGGGACACTTACTAATCTTTGGAGTCCAAGAGCT